TTGGTAAAAGAGTAGCCCAAGAGTTGGCGGTGGGTGGTGATGACTAGCTGCCTTCCCTCTAGTCTTACACTGCTAAATTAGGGACGGCTAGCGCAGATAGCCCTCGTGTAGCTTTGCGCGAAATTCCAAAACAAACAAACAAACAACCATGTTTTTGTATTGAATTTATCCTATCCACTGAGATGGCTTGCATAATTCACAAAAAATATTCCACCACAAAGGGAATGTCTGTACGATATTTTATCATACAGACTTCTCAAGGTTTGAAATGCATATTCAAAATATTTGTACATTTAGAATACTGATGAAGTAGTTCTAATAAAATTATGTATTAAACCTTCATAAACTAAGAAATAACACGGTTTCTGAGAGTTTAGTTTAAATACTTAAAAGAGAAGACCAGTGGTCAATATGTTAGAGCCTCTTCTCTACCTGTTGATTGGTTGTAAGACATACATGTCTACCTGTGTTTGATAACAAAGTTTAGATATTAACAGAGTATTACACTTCGTCACAGAATATTGCTATGCAGATCATACACCGTACTTAAAAACAATCTAATAAACCTCTCGTAATAATATTTATTTGGAGCCCACATTTCAAAATTTAAACCACTGAAGACATTAGTTACAAACTACTTAAGATTATTGTTAAATTAGTGTTTTTATCAACTGACTATAAATTAGGACTAACATGGAAAGTTAATACGTCACACCGCTTGGGATTTTTTCAAACTGAGTAACTTTAGTGTAATGTGTTACAGACATAGGGGGAAGAGAGGAAGCGAATTTTGACTGATGGGCATTTATTTTCGTGTTTTTCATTTAGATGTAACCCGCATTGTAATATTGACTTTCGAATAAAACTAAAAGTTGTTTTTTTTTAGTTGAAAACGTGAATCATTATATACCAACTGTGAATAACGTTGAAGGTATTTGTAGAAGCCTTTGACGTATAATTCGACTATAATTTTTATTGGAAATTTAATTTTAAACCTAAACGGTACCAAATGTGCACATGGGCTAAACGATCAGATTTTGTATCCCTATGATGCAGGTGTAGCTCTCCCTAATGTTGACAAGTAAACAGCACCCGCCGCTACACTGGTTTTTCCGGCTCTTTGAACCGAATAACGGAATTTACCACACTTTTATAAAACATCCACAGCTGAAAGTGTGGAGCATGTTCAGTAGCTTCACGCTTCGAATCCCATACAGTTCGATCTGCAGACCGATTCACAATTTTATAAAACACCCATAGCTGAAAGTGTGGAGCATGTTCAGTAGCTTCACACTTCGAATCCCAGACAGTTCGATCTGCAGACCGATTCACAATTTTATAAAACACCCATAGCTGAAAGTGTGGAGCATGTTCAGTAGCTTCACACTTCGAATCCCAGACAGTTCGATCTGCAGACCGATTCGCTAACCACTTGTCCATGTTCAGCATATTCTTTTTTATTTAAAGAATACAGTCCATAGAGAAATATTTGAGTTAGTTATTCTGAACCACAAAAAGTTTCATCTTGAACTCTAACAAGTGCAAGCACGGTTAATAAAATATCTATATTATAATAATGTTTTCTATATAATCATCTAATCTTACAACTAAAACGTTGTTTCTGTTTAAGAAACTAAAACAAAATGGTTTATTTGTGCCTAGTTTGGGAACTGATAGCCAGCCCTTCGTCAGATATATATATACAGAACTAAAAGAAAGAACAATCCAAACAGTTTTCATTGCATCATTTTAAAAATCAGGCATGACCTTTACTCTTCAGATAATTTAGAAAAAACAAAAACGTTTTTTTTTTATTTTATTTCAGTCTACGTTTCGCCATTGCCATTGAATCAGTATGCACTGCAAAACCTAGAAAAACAACAAAACTATTTTATTTCAGTCTACGTTTCGCCATTGCCATTGAATCAGTATGCACTGCAAAACCTAGAAAAACAACAAAACATTTCATGGTATCAATGTAATCCAGCAATTTGAGAGTTTCCCTGCAAAACGGTCCAGCCCAATAACAAAAGCATCGATTTTAACGTAACAATTTAACCGAACAACTAGAGCATTGTCTAAACGTAACAATCTATAGCCTAACAATTGGAACTTATTGCTATCGTAGCCTTTTAACCGAACGTGTCTTATTTTGAAATGTATTTCAGCTTAGGGTGCACATTTGTTTTTTAGCAACTAACTTAATATTTAGGACATTTATTTTGCGTAATAGGCACAGGATAACTTAATTCTTGACTTTTCTTACTATTGATAGATATTAGAAGAAATCACATGGCAAATACACAAAGGTTGGCTAAAACACCGTATAAATGAACAAACATCATGAAAGAGCCTATTGAAACGCTGTGATTGCTTTAAATGTATACGTATAGACACTGGATGTTGAAGTTTTTAGAAATGTATGCTATTTCTTGTAGAAGAAGGCTAAATTTTTGTTCCATGAATGACAATAATGATTAATTATTCTTGTCATAAGATATTAATACTAGACCAATTATATTTTCAAATATAAAAGGCCTATTAGTATTTTTTTATCACAAGTATAATTAACCATAGTCATGCTTGCCTCCCCAGGTTAGAAAAGGTGTACGAAGCATAATAATGGTTGTAATAATAATTATGACTTAAGAACGCAACTGTTTGTTTTCTCAGATTACTAAGTTTCCGATCGACTTTTAAAACAGGTTTAGTAAAGACTATTTATAATAGCACTAACATGTTAGCTGATAGATCACGTTGACATTTCAACGTAAATGATGTAGAATAATGAGTCATTATTGTCACTATTGAATAATGAAGACCTGAAGGTAGCCCACGAGCTCGTGCAGATGTTTTCGTATCAAGTTCGTTACGATAAATACAGAATAAAACTACAGTGTAGTGAAAAGCATTACGTTGGTGTTTTTAGTAATACTGAATGGTACATTATAAAACGAGCCGAATAAATTACCTAGGAAGTAAAGTAAGTTATACCTAATTTAGAAAGATATAATTGCATAAAATATTCTGAGGAGATTAGGGGAAGTGCCAGTAATTATAAATTGATTAAACATTAACTGTTGCAAGCTGAAGAAGGTAACAGTATTTGTTTTAAATCAGATAGTTCTAACTATTACTGATATAACACAGTGATATAATGATACATGGATTAATGAACAACTACTTACTATAATATAATAGGGTGTATAGTCATTAAAGGTACGATACCACAGTGGTATAATGGTACATGTATTAAAGAACAACTACTTACTATGATATAATAGGGTATATAGTCATTAAAGGTAATAATACAGTGGTATAATGGTACATGGATTAATGAACAACTACGTACTGTAATATAATAGGGTATATAGTCATTAAAGGTACGATAATACAGTGGTATAATGGTACATGGATTAATGAACAACTACTTACTATAATCTAATAGGGTGTATAGTCATTAAAGGTAATATAATACAGTGGTATAATGGTACATGTATTAATGAACAACTACTTACTATGATATAATAGGGTATATAGTCATTAAAGGTACGATAACACAGTGGTATAATGGTACATGTATTAATGAACAACTACTTACTATGATATAATAGGGTATATAGTCATTAAAGGTACGATAATACAGTGGTATAATGGTACATGGATTAATGAACAACTACTTACTATAATCTAATAGGGTGTATAGTCATTAAAGGTAATATAATACAGTGGTATAATGGTACATGGATTAATGAACAACTACTTACTATAATATAATAGGGTGTATAGTCATTAAAGGTAATATAATACAATGGTATAATGGTACATGGATTAATGAACAACTACTTACTATAATATAATAGGGTGTGTAATTAATAAAGGTACTTGTCCGTACATCCAGGACACAGATAGCTAAAGAAAACAAACCGAGGGGAGAGATAAAGTTAGCTGGATAAACAGATAACTAAACAGTGAGCTAGGTAGATAGACATCCATGAAGTTAGAGAAGAATCCACACAGATGTACAGATAAACAAATAAAGCTAAATTGATAAACATGGATAAAACAAACATACAGATAAAACTAACTGGATAAGCAGATAACTAACCAAATAACAATCTAAATGTACAGGTAGTCATAATGTTACATATATAACCATATAAAAGCAGACAGATAAACAGCTACATAACTACCTGGATAATAAGATAAGAAACTGGATAATGTGCTAGGTGGATGGGTAGAAAAAACAATCAGATAAACAGAAAGGCAGGCAGTACTAACTGGATAAACAGTTAGATAGATAGTAACCTAATGGTCTAGGTGCTATTTATATCATCAGTTTTTATGAACAGTGACTGCTACTGTGTGAACTAGATTAAGTAAGTGAATTGTAATTATTATTAATTTTATTTAAGCCATTTATAAGTCAGATTTTAGGATAGGCATTAATAACACATTACTATATATTTATTTTAATTCTAACGTCCATTATTTATTATTATTATTTTATTTGAACTAACTTTATTATCATTCAGATGAACAGACAAACTATCAAGCTAGTTTTTTGTTACCAGAGCGGGTCAGGCAACCATAGCGTTAAAGATACAAAACTACATTAGTAATTCTATTATCTTACGAGTGAAAACAAAGAATAATATGTTAGAATATGTCAATCACACCACATTATAAAACTATTAAAATAATAGCTAAATACTACTGTAATGTTTAATATTACTTATGGATGTAACCATATTCATACATTGTAATAACTAACATTATTTATAGATTAAAACAAACTAAGTAGGCTTATGTTTCGAGCTCGAACAAAAGAGATTCAAATAGTATGAATGACTCACCCGACCAAAGTGCCAGATGCGCGTAGTGAAAGCTTTGTCTGCTTTGGGCCAGGAGGTAGCCTTTCTGCTTGGGTTCTTTTAGAGAACAATGGTAAACTATTTACCATGGTTGGATACAATAATTAATTTTATTATATAACGTTTCTAAGCTAAATCAAAATGGGTTAGACATTTTGTTTTGACCACTTAATTAAATGAAGAACATTTGGAATTTTAATCGAAATATCTTATAAGAGAATGGAATCACTTTTAAATTGATCTAAAAATGTTCAGCGTCAGCTATCGAATAATGTCATAACGGTGATGATAAATGTACTTTTGCTGACAAACACAGAGATTTTATTTTGTGGATATTTAAGTAAATAATAGTCTCGTTTTCATTACGAAGAGAAACAACGGTATAATTTTTCATCTAAAGGATTAGAGCTATATTGGATGACAAGTTGACTTGCCCAGGCTAATGAGGGGCAATATTGACGGAAGCTGTACTTTTCACCTTAGTTATTGTTTATATTTGTTGCCCGAAACAAATGAATATTTTTGCATGACTTTGGTAACGATAACAAACTTTAATGTTGTAATGCCTCTCATGTAGAAGGGGCAAATATGTAAACTTCTAAAATTTTACGGGGAAATATTCACTACTATTTGATTAGGAACTGTCGAAGGATTGTACAGTAAATGAAATGATTCGTACAGTTGATGAGATAAAACCTCTATAAACAAGACTGGAAATGAATATAGTGTATGCTATTGTGAATTGTTTCCATTAAAAGAAGGACACGGATTTCCATCACGGTTTTTTCTTTATCTCGGTGAGTTTTCAAAGTTAAACTGTTTTTTGAAGGGGAGAAAACTATGAAATTGGAAAAAAATCCTTAGCTATGATTATATTGTAGTAAGTCATAGAAAACCCGTTTATAATTTTGAGTATCAAACCCTGATTAAGATAGACTATATGGTGGTTGTTTCCCTCGTTTATACTGTTTGAATACTAAACCCTTATGAATATGAAACATATTGTGGTTATTTCCCTTGTTTATACTGTTTGAATACTAAACCCTTATGAATATGAAACATATTGTGGTTATTTCCCTTGTTTATACTGTTTGAATACTAAATCCTTATGAATATGAAACATATTGTGGTTATTTCCCTTGTTTATACTGTTTGAATACTAAACCCTTATGAATATGAAATATATTGTGGTTATTTCCCTTGTTTATACTGTGTGAATACTAAACCCTTATGAATATGAAACATATTGTGGTTATTTCTCTTGTATTTAGTGTTGAGTACTGAACCCTGATGAAGTTAGAACGTATGGTAGTGGTTTACCTCGTTTATACTGTTGAATAGCAAACCCTGATAAAGAAAGAACACATGGCGGTTGTTTTCCTTGTTTACACTATTTGAATACTAAACCCTGATGAATATTGAAACATATGGTGGTTGTTTCCCTTGTTTACACTATTTGAATACTAAACCCTGATGAATATTGAAACATATGGTGGTTGTTTCCCTTGTTTACACTATTTGAATATTGAACCCTGAAGCAGATAGAAAATATGATGGTTGTTTCCCTCGTTTATACTGTTTGAATATTCAACCCTGATGAAGGTGGGACATATGGTGGTTACCTCTCTCTTTGGTTTTTACTGTTGAGTACTGAACCGTGATGAAGACTGAACATATGGTGGTTGGTATTCAGCTCACCTGAACTTCAAGCCATTAATTGTTACGGCTTAACGTTTTCGTTTTACATAACCTGAAATAAAGTACAACAAAATTCCAACACGAATATTATAGTTCTTCTTCGTGAGTTTTACATCTATGCATTTATTCTAGATTACGGCATTCCCTTTGATGCTTCAATCGTGTTTATTTTGAAATTTAACATGGAGAAGCACGTAAATATAGTCTTTTGGTATTTTTACGGTTTCAGCGTTCGTGTTTTAAAACAACATTTTGTATGTGATTAAGATGCTATAGAAAAATATTTTTTCGTAAACATCCCATATTAAACTATTTTGAATTTGATAGAAAAGTAAAAGTAAGTATTCTGAGATTACGGTCATTGCTCAGTACATTGACTAGAATAGTTGTATCAGTTATTGGGGTATCAAAATGAGCAAAAAATTTGCAAACTGAGAAATAAACCTGTTTAGCATTAAGTATACAACATTGAACACAGTATATGAGATTATATTATAAGTAATCAGAATCAGAAAAAAAGGCTTACTTACCAAGATCTCGACAGGGGTTGAAGAAGGCGAGCCAAACCAACCTAACGTTTGTGTCGCGCCAGGACCTGCTGTTGTGTAGCGGGGTGAACACTTGGGTCGGCCCCTCAGTCCCCTTTTCATCAGCATAAATCGTTTCACCGTCGCATTATGCTATGCGATATTCCCTGCGCATACAGAAAAAAAAGAAAAAAAAAGCCCCGAGCATGCGCTTTGTTAAGTGAGAGAACAAGCCCACGTAGCCAATGAAACAGAAGAATCGATCGTCCCAGAGCGGGTTCCTGTTGTCAGAAGGAAGGTCATATCCCGTCAACAATGTGGAAGCTTGATGGGGGGAAGAGTAATTGCTATGGAAACATTCTACTTATGTCTGGCCATGTTGGTCCGTATAGGCAGTGATATATTAACATGAAGGATTTGAAGAACTATTACAAATATTGATTCTTACACAATAACCATTTCAACATATATACACACATATAAATATGTATATATAAAGAGGGATAGAAATATATCAGTTTCTATTCTAAGAACACTTCGCATGACATCCTTATAAAATGATTTGTTGAAAGCTGCACTGAAATTTAAAATGAACAATTATAAAATTAAATCGCAATCAACATAAATATGTGGATGGAAATGAAAGAAGCATTAATTAAAATACAGTCGCATCAAAACAGCCTTTAACAAATTAATCAAAAGAAAATAATAAACAAACAAAATTCCTCGTATTGGATTAAATATGCTGTAGTTATAATGTGATCTCCAACAAACTCTTGGCTGGTATGTGACAGCATAGAGATGTGATATGCTGGAGTTATAATGCGATATCCAACAAACTCTTGGCTGGTATGTGACAGCATAGAGATGTGATATGCTGGAGTTATAATGTGATCTCCAACAAACTCTTGGCTGGTATGTGACAGCATAGAGATGTGATATGCTGGAGTTATAATGCGATATCCAACAAACTCTTGGCTGGTATGTGACAGCATAGAGATGTGATATGCTGGAGTTATAATGCGATCTCCAACAAACTCTTGGATGTTATGTGACAGCATAGAGATGTGATATGCTGGAGTTATAATGTGATCTCCAACAAACTCTTGGATGTTATGTGACAGCATAGAGATGTGATATGCTGGAGTTATAATGTGATCTCCAACAAACTCTTGGCTGTTATGTGACAGCACAGAGATGTGTGTTTTTGAAATGGCTTCTGTTTGACAAACTCTTGGCTGGTATATGACAGGATAGAGATGTATGATTTTGACATGGCTTCTGTTTGCGGTTGAAGACTTACCAAATCAGTGTTCGTTGCTTTAAGTCTTTAATCTGCATAATACACATACCATTAATGTCGAAGATTTATACTACACAGTTATTTTGTAATCTTTTAGTGAGAAATCTGGTACACAAAACTTCATAAATTAACAGTAATTGATATATATATTTATTTATATATTTTCATTTATAATTTGACATTAATTTGTCATCGCATGTTCTGTAACAGTAAAATCATCATATATATCTGTACAAGATTATAACAATCTAATATGTTTTTTCACACATGAATTAGATTATTCACATCAGATGAAGACTTCCACTGAAGTCTATGTCTTCATAAAAATACTTTTGTAACTGCCACTAATTTTAGATTACCAGTATGATTATTCTTCGATTAATACACAAGGAAGGTATGGCTACTATACCTAAATTAATACACACAATGAAGGTATGGTTATTATTCCTGTATTAATATACTGGAAAGGTGTGGCTATTATTGCTATATTAATAAACATGGAAGAAGTGGCTATTATTGCTATATTAATAAACATGGAAGAAGTGGCTATTATTGCTATATTAATAAACATGGAAGAAGTAGCTATTATTGCTATATTAATAAACATGGAAGAAGTAGCTATTATTCCTACGTTAATACACAAGTAAGGTATGGCTACTATACCTAAATTAATACACAATGAAGGTATGGCTATTATTGCTATATTAATAAACATGGAAGATGTGGCTATGATTCCTATATTAATATACACGAAAGGTGTGGCTAATATACCTATATTAATAAACACGGAAGAAGTGGCTATTATTCCTATACTAATATACACGAAAGGTGTGGCTAATATACCTATATTAATAAACACGGAAGAAGTGGCTATTATTTCTATATTAATATACAGGAAAAGTGTGGCTATTATTCCTATATTAATAAACATGGAAGATGTGGCTATTATTCCTATATTAATAAACATGGAAGAAGTGGCTAATATACCTATATTAATAAACGTGGAAAATGTGTCTATAATTCCAATATTAATATGCACGAAAGGTGTGGCTATTATTCGTATATGAATAAACGTGGAAGATGTGTCTATAATTCCAATATTAATATACACGAAAAGTGTGGCTATTATTCCTATATGAATAAACGTGGAAGATGTAGCTATTATTCCTATATTAATATACACGAAAAGTGTGGCTATTATTCCTATATTAATAAACATGGAAGATGTAGCTATTATTCCTATATTAATATACACGAAAAGTGTGGCTATTATTTCTATATTAATACACATGAAAGGTGTGTCTGTTGTTTAAAGGTTTTATTTACTGTTGTTTAAAAATCCCACATTTTAATTAGTTATGATGGAAAGGAGTAACAGTTTCAAAAATCAACAAGGAAGCATATTTTCTTTGTGATCCCATGTAGCTATGTCACACGAATTTTCTATGTTAATTAATAAGCATGTATCTAAACGTCATTTTAGCTCCTTGTGCAAAAACAAAATAAAGAAATAAAAGAAATTGAGTAGTACACAATATAGTGGATTTTGACTATGTTATAACATTTTTCTTTAAATATTTTATACTTATATATCAAATATTTCTATATATTTCACGACGTTAGCCAACTTCAAATGCAAACAATATTGGACGTTTTAAAGACAGGATAGATATTACGAAAAACTGATTTCAGGAAATGAGCATGCACGAAAATAATTGTCAGATATATGATTATTTATTAAATTGACAAACACTTTAACAAACGAATATAGGGTACAAATTGCGACAAAACTCTCTATATAACGTTGATTAGAGCACTGTGGTCAAAGTTCTGTTTGCATAATATATATATATCTTTTCCTGTTATTATTAGTTTTTTGTTGAGCATACAATGACTATCATTTTCACAGCATGCCCTGAGAGTTCCTTTCATATCGTGGTGCTTTAAAGTTCTCAACGAGAGTTAGATATACTTTGTGAGCTTTTAACACTAGTAAGCAGATAACTACATTCTCTGGCTCCTTTATTTTTCGAAAAATAACCGTCATAATAAGAAGACATAGAATACTCCATACTACCTAAGTTCTGAATTATAGTAAGGAATTTGAATATCCGCATTATTCTAGATATTTCTAGAAGTAGTGAATTCTTCGATATAGGTATGTTCAATCGTATATGTGTCTAAGTGTTGTTTAGATATCTTAAAAACTCTGGTAAGTATAAGATTCGAATTTTATAAGCATTTATCGTTATGAATATTTATTTAGTTTTGATGTATTTAAAGGTAATTATTGTGTGTTCAATGTAATTTATACATATATATCTAAATGTACAGGTTCTATCATTCATAAAATATCAATACAGTGCTCTGAATATAGTATTTTCGAAGTACCTTCCAGATGGCAGCACTTATTATATAAATGTTTTTAATAGGTGGAATTTTGAGAAAGTCTTCTTAAAAATGTTCAAAACGGAATAAAATATTTTCGTATTGACCTGAAAGATCTTAGCAAGAACAATAACTATCTTTATATAGAAGACAAAAATAATGATACCGAAACCTAGATCAAGTGAAAACAAACGTAGCCGGAAATGTGTGAATTCAATAAGTTAGTTTGAATTTCACGCAAAGATACTCGAGGACTATCTGCTCTAGCCGTCCCTAATTTAGCAGTAATGTACTAGAGGGAAGATAACTGGTAAACACCAGCCGCCGCTAACTCTTGGGCTACTCATTTACTAACGAATAGTGGGATTGTTTTGTAACAGGGTTTCGAACTCACGGTCCTCAGATTGCAAGTCGAGCGCCATAACCACAAGGTTCTACCAGGCCTTGAGCAGAATAAGAACAACAAAACTAAAACCAAATTTATAGTTTTACAAAATTAGAACACATTGATGACTTGAACCAATACCTCCCTCTCTAAATACTTACATTTTATTATCGTAATTACATAGAATCCTTCCATTAATAAGTCATTCGATATCCTGTAGATAAATTGTATTGCTTTAACATGAGTGTTATAGAGACACAAAGACTCGTTGTTAAACCAATCATTAATCAGGTAATTCTGATGTATTCATTTTAAAAATGTAGTGTTATCCAGTAATCGATGCATGTGACAAAAGGAAATATCCTTACAAGGAATAGCTTAAAATACAATAAGAGAATTTGTTGTTTTCTTAATGCAAAGCTTCACAGTGGGCTATATACACTCTGTTTACAACAGGGAATAAAACCCCGGATACTAGCCTTGTAATCCCGAAAACTTACTGCTGACTCATTGGGTGATCTGTATGAGAAAGAAAAATGTGTAGTTAAGTTAGTTAATTTTTACCATTTACAGATTATATGTTGCTGAAGTTCCATTTGTTTATCATTTGTGATACTTCTCAACTCTTTTGTTTTCGTTTTGTCCAATCACCTTGTAAAAATTAGCTTTTTGAATGGACGTTGAAGGCCAGCCAGAGCTCGCTAGAAGATATGCGTTACACACTAATTAAGATGGTACTAGTTTTAACATTTCTATTTAAATAAAACCATATGCGCGCATGATTTAAGCGACCAGGTCAGAATCCTTTAGGGTTCAGGCATAATCATTCCAAATTTTGTACTATTGACCAGAAGAAAGACATCCAATCAGTAACTTCTTCCTTAGGGTGTTCAGTGGCATCGTGACGTGGAACTTTGATATTTCGGTCTGCAGCCCGCACGTCCAAGAAAACTAAATCAAGGAATACTGTGTTAAAGAAGATGAAAAATAAGAAAAAAAAAAAAAACGAAGAGGAAAAGCCAGATGCTGTTAAGTTGTTCAAGTTAAGGTAGAAATGTTTAAAAAATTTAAGTCTAAACAAAACTGATTATAATAGTTGTAATCAATAAAAATAACTCCTTTAAAAAAAATGAAATCAAGAAAAACTAATTTGGATAAATTAAAGTCAAGGATGAGCTGGTTTCAATAATACGAAATTAAAGAGAACTGCTGTAGAAGTTGAAATGAAGAAGAAATTACTTTTAAATGTTGAAGTCAAAGACAAGACTGCTTTTTAAAGTTAAACCAAGGTTCTAAATGGAAACATTGAAATAGAAATGTAAATTCATTTCATAGGTAATTGCTGAGAGGATTCTAGAATTTGGATAACACAGAAATAAACAATTATGTTATACAAAGATAAATGAAGCAACAGTTAAATGTTAAAATCGTTGAACTTGTTTGTGGTATAGATGTAGGTCACGTGTAACGATTAGAAGAATGAAAGATGAAGAATAATAACAATAAAAACAAGACGTAACAAAGCTAGTTTATTAGAACTTGAGATGAGCTATATTAAACATTAAACCAACTAACTGAACACTGAAGTTTTCTTAACCCACTCATTTATTATTTTGTTTACTTTTATAGAAATATTTTACTGATGTTTAGTGAGGAACCTACTGAACTGAATAATTAATTCAAAATACAAAAACAGCAACTTTTAAGGTAGGTAAGTTCTGGTTTTAACAGGAACAAATACAGATAATATTCTTTTTTTCTCTTAGTATTAGTATTTATCATTGATACTAATTGAGTAATATTCAAGTATTAGAAAGTTTCGATCTGTAGTATCGGCTCATTATGAGGTAAGAGTTACATTCGAAAAGGCAGTTGGCTTCAAAATATACAGACTCGTGATGGTAGGGAAAAGTGGCTTTAAATTAAGTTTTTGTTTTTTTTGGTAAAATGACAGGATAAAATATTATTATAGATAAAGGGGAGGTATTTTATGTTTATTTAATGTTGGGTTTGATGTCTTTATCAGTAATACTTCAGCCATTTTCTTTTGTTGTCTGGTTCTCGTTGGATGATTTCGACATTTTTACATTGATAATATGTTATGTTTCTTTGAGGTGCCCAAAAACATGTGAGCGCTGTCTACGGTGTTCCTCAAGTCTGAAGTTTTTTTCTCAGTTTCTCCAACTTAAATTTTTTTACAAGAATTGCGTTTGATTTTGTAGATAACTCCGTTGTGTTTATTTCCAATGGGTTAATTGTTGTTAATAAGAATCTTGCTTTTGATGACTGGTTTTTATATGATTATGTCGATGTTGTGTTTCTTCGAATCGTTTCCATAATTCAGTTTTGTTTTGTTTGTTTGTTTGCAGCTAAGCACAAAGCTACACAATGGGTTAATTGTTGTTAATAAGAATCTTGCTTTTGATGACTGGTTTTTATATGATTATGTCGATGTTGTGTTTCTTTGAATCGTTTCCATAATTCAGTTTTGTTTTGTTTGTTTGTTTTCAGCTAAGCACAAAGCTACACAATGGATTATCTG